CGGCGTTGTTAAAGCATCTGAGGCAGAGGGGTTTTACGAGCAACCTGAGGGGTTCGATGTATGTGATTGATCATACCAACATTGAATGGCAGTATGTCATTATATACTAATGGTCGAGGTTATACAACCTGGAATATAAAGCGATATTGCGTTGGGGAGTGGAGCTTATCGTACTCTTGCGGAGTTTTTACTTGTTTAGTGCATGTTATGCTGGTATCTATTTTATTCCCATTGCTAGGTGTGATTGTTGTTTATTTTTGCTATTTCAAGGTGTCTGTGTTGTGGGGTATTTGCAAGGGCGGACGTGTGCTTATTGCTTGCATGTTTTCTCGCGTATATTACAGCAATAAACTGTCCCTATTTAATCATGTCGTGGTTGCTTGGCCCAAGTCGGGTATCAAGGCATGTGGCGTATATTCAGAGTGTCCGTGGGCATTGATTTCAAAGGGCCTGTGTATTCCATCGCCATCTGTGTATTCTGTGTCTATCATGTTGTATTATAGGGTCATATGGATTTTTGTTCAAAACTGCTTATTTTTGTATATGAGTGTATTGCGTGTTCAGCGAAAGAGATATTGTATTAGTAGGTAGTAGGGGGTACGGAGCACAATTTCGGGTAATATTGGATTGTCTAATCGTGCCGCAGGATGAGAGACAGGGTGGCGCGTGCGTATGTGTGTGTATGTAGGATGTAAGTGTTGCAGTGCGTGCTGTAAAATACGAATCGAGGGGTTTGTGGAGGCACTTGACCGAATTAGGGCTTTATTTTTAGCACTTCCTGCCATTATATATGTATGATATATATATATATATATATATATGCTTACTCAACATCATGCTCCAGCTTACAACGTCTCTGCATCCTAAACCGCAAGATTCACACGCGTGTATGCGGCGCATATGCTATCGATATGTAACAATAACACACACTGTTAACTCATTTACTGTATTAACATGCCTATTATATATATATGTCATAACAACATGTTCCTAACTAAATATACTCTGCCGTATTCAGCGTCACATTTTTCCCCAAAATAACATCATCTGTGCTTGCCATTACCGCGTCGCCAGCCTTCTATAGTATCCAACTATACACCTGTGCATAACGAGATATCATACGATTATCTACTGTGCCTTCATATATGGCGTGACTGAACGAATCCTTATATCGTTCAGGTACCTCCTAGTATCTTAGGGTGGTTACACATCGAGCGTATCTATATTCCGTGCTCCCTGACACGTTATGTGGAGGATTCCCAGCGTATATATGCTGCCACAGAAATCCCCCGTAGTCCTTCTCTCGGACCGTGTACGCGACTTGTCTTTACAGAGACATAACTTTAGCCGCGTATGCTAACCTCGTTTCCATGCGTTAAACGTGACGCGTGATACGTCCGCGTAGGCCCGTTATCACACGCGTGCCACGGCTATCTATCCTATAGCCAGTGTAACGCTCTCTATACCTTATGCACCCTATAACTCTCTATTGTGGCACAAACCGTCCGCGCTCCACTTACATAAATGTGCAATAGGCAATATCGTCAGTATACTTAGCAGTCAGGTGACAGACAGTAAACAGCGTTAGCACAGCGAAATTTATACTAGGAAAAATGGAATACTTATCACGGCATTATATCTTCCTCTTCTTTCTTCTAGCTTCTTCTCTCGGCTTCCGTTGCTCTGTCTGTTTCGGCGTCTCGGCATTGCCTCCTTTCCTTCCGTCTCCCCCTCTCTCTCTTCTTCTGTCTCTCTTGCTCTCTCGTCCGCTCTTCTTTTCTCTTTCTCCAATTTTCTTCTTCCTTCTCCAGTTTTCTTCCGTGGCTCCGTGGCTCGTGAATCGTTTGTAGTGGTAGCATCTTGCGTTATGTCCGCAAACCCGGTTCGAACTGTCGACGACATCAAAATGTAACGAGTCGACGATGATGACGTTACCCGGTTCAAAGTAGATTAGTTGTAGCAATGAATAATGAAACTCCAAACTCCAAGCAGTTGTGTCCAGCAAATAGTATTATTGTTTCTCAACCCACATGTGCGCGCACAGAGGCACGCAGCCGCGTGCCTCGCACACTCACGTCCGACCTCACTCTTCAACCAAGACCTCCCATTTATACATTTCTAGCTAACAAAGAAAGTCGCGCGCGCGCGGACAACCACACCCGCTGCCCACATGCACAACAATTCTCTCTCCACCGTTTCTCATCTCCATTATCCATACTACATCAAACGCGCTATCGCCGACCAACACATTATGCAAGCACAGTCGCTACATTTCCAATCCCTCAACTACTATTTGTAACATCTGCAAACCATACTTTACACCATGAATTCTCATGAATTGGTCCTTTGGCAAATTTTCTGTTTTCCGGTGACTCCGGTTGCGTTCTAATGCCCCCAATAGGCTATGAGCCAAGGGGGTTGGTCGGTACCATACAGATGGAGTAAGGCTCATTGTGATTTTTAGCAAGATATATGTCCCTAGATATGAAAAAAATGTGATAGCAGTGTATAACTCTCGGCCATCTCTGTGTTATCACCCGAAATAGTATTATACCCCCTCTTTGCTTCGCCAAAATAATTATGTGTTATTTGGT